AGGTGCATGTTTTTTCCACCATTATCCCACACTCATAAAATCCATTCCCACACTTGCTCGTTAGGCCTCTGCTTATAAGAGTTAGAAAACTCAAAAAGTTCTTTGGGAGAATAGTGGACTTCCTCATGGGTCACACTATGTATCACCCTTAGGAGCCTTATGAGATTTGAGCCTGGTTATGGGCCTACAGGCAAAAATGGATGGTGAGGGTGGGTCTTGAGGAGTGTCAGCATGATCCTGCTTGGTTGACATAGAATTAGCTTCCCCAGGCATACCAGGAGACACTAACACCGCAGGAGGGGGAGGCGGCAATGCCTCTACCACAGTGGGTGGGGAACTCTCTTCCTCTGGCAAAATAATCTCATCAGGATCTAGGAACTCAACATCCTCAGCCTCCTCAGGATCCTCCCTCGCACACATCTCCATCCCATTTTATGGGATCCCATACTTTTCCAACTAGTGCCCTCACCTTTGCCTCAGATACCCTTCGAGGCTGAGCATTAAATTTATGTTGCAGTTCAGCCAATCAAATTATGAGGGACTGCATCTGGGTTTCTGCAATCTCAGTTTTGTGGCTAAAAGAGAGATTTTCCTTCAAGACACAGTTAGAAACTTTTAAATCTCTGATTTGTGACTGGAGATGGGAACTCGAATCTTTGAGTTTCTTATTTTCCTTTACAAGTTTGTCTAGTGAGGCCAAGACCAACCAGCCAGCATCATATTTTCTACTCTGCCAAAGAAATTCAAAATTTTCATGTATGGAATCACTAAATTCCTGACATCTCACAAGTGGTGAATGAGGATAATCAAATGGATCTACACAGCGTATTAGTTTAAACAATTCACACCAAGGACCATCAGCACTCCCCACAGAAGTGGGAGGAGAGACCATGGCGTCTTCAGGTGTCATCAAATTGGGGAGCCAACTCCAGGAACCCCTGAAGACATTAAGGAATGCCATCATTATAATCTGTTTTTCTAGAGCCACTCACGGTACCAAATTCTGTATCAGTCAGGGTTTTACTGGAGAAACAGATATAACACAGGATGTACAAATTATAAGAAATTACAAGATTGGCTTATGACGGTCAGCCAGAGAGTTGTATGGGGAAGTGTGCAGAGGGTGTCTGCACACTGAAGACTGAAGGAATCAGTCCGGGGTCTGGAGTTCACTGCAGAGTTCCGTGCAAGTCCGTA